GTGCTTATCCAAATTTACTGCTCACCCGACTTCACCACAAGTACCACTGGAACCTCGCTGGACGGAACCGGTAGGCATAAAAACAATCAACTACTTTGTTCGCTTATCTCTATTTGCATCTTTTTAGCTTTTCATTTGTATTCTCACTCCTTAGAAGCGCATTAAGCTGGCTTGCCAACCGGATCCTACACTTGCAGACCCCTCTAGAAGTGGTGTAGTCTCCGTCAGCTTTGCTCTAACCGAGTATGTATTTTAACAATGATTTTGCTTTAAATATATTGAGTAAACCATAGTCCAAATCAACTTTTTATCTTTTCCAAAAAGAAAATTGCTATCATGTCCAAATCCTGGAAATCGTGTTTCGCTAAATCTGATGCTTGTATACAATGCTTAGAAGTTGGTCAAAATGCGCATTTCGTGCCAAGCTCATGCAGTGATTTGTTAAATAAATGACGCCGTATTTGTGAGAATCCCAATAAAACTCTGCCCTTGTGCGGAAGTTCGTAATTATTTTTGACCATGTTTCCTCATTCGTCCAACACGTTTTGATCGGACGAAGAGAGGGTCTTCGTGTTTCTCATTTTTCTTGGTGTAATCCAACGACTTGATCTTCTACCAAATTTTTAGAATAGGGTCGTATCCTCGACCTTTGGATTAATTTATTGTGATCAAATTATTGGGCTTTTCTCCCAAAATACCGTTTAAGTAGCTCGCCTGTACAAAGCAGCTTACACGGTGTTACCATTCGTTGCCCATATTTAGGCATGGAAGAAGAGAACCGCGTGTTTATAATAGTGGATTTTCATCACCCAAACTCTTTTGCCTGCAGCATTTGTGACATCTACACCAATTTCGCTCTTTCGATCGCCCTCTACCTATTGATTGAGGGAGATAGTGCACCCCTTTACCGGGGTCTCATTGAATCGGGTCTGGGCCTAGACTGGACTCCCCCAATCCACGGTATGGATCGTGGTATCCGGACCACCTGCTTCCACGTTGGCTTACAGGGCGTTCAACCCGGCGCAGATATTGAACGCGTGGAGGCTGAGGTGATGGAAATACTTGCGCAGACAGTGAAAACGGGCTTTCCTAAGGTTTGTGGTGGACCAGCTGGTGAATTTGCCATCAGTAGCTTTGATGACATAAACAAAATAAGAATTGGTGGCTGATTTTCTTCCTTTAGGAACGAGTGGAGGCAGTGCTACATCGACAAGAGATTGCGCTCCGAGAGGACAATGCAAGGTTTGGTTTACAAGTGATTCTAGGCCTGGCAGGAATTGTCAATCACGGTGGTGATGTACAGACAGCTCTTTCGATTCAAAAAATGGTCGATCGGTTTAAGTTAGAGCTGGCAGCAGACCCAGAGATGCTGCAGAAATTAATTAAGAGGTACCTATTGCAAAATCCACATCGTCTATGTGTGAGTATGCTTCCTGATGCTGAGTTTGAAGCAAAGCAGAAAGTGAAGGAGGCTCAGAGACTTGAAAAAGTCATTTGTGGAATGTCTGTGGAGAAAAAAGAAAAGGCACTTAAAGATGGTTAGTGACATCCTTTTATTTTCTCCTATTTATTTTTGTTTTTTTTGATAGTGAGGAGAAAACAACTGCAAAGGCTCTCGTTGATGGCTTTAGAATATGTTGCTTTCATTCTTTCATGTTGATAAAAAAAGACTTAAGGGTTTTTCGTTTTATTTTGTTGGGCCAATTTGTGATGAATGAAGATGAGGCTATTGTGGGTGCTTACAGCTACGCCATAGCAGATGGATGGGGTGAAACTTGGCAACTTATTCATCATCATCTATCTAGTCGAAGCCATTTCGTTTCACACTCACTAAGGGTTTGTTTAATTGTAGTACCAGTAAAATGCATTCTTAATTACTTATTCAAAAGACTCAATATTACAAGAACTCGTCTCACTTTCTTTACTGCTGCGTTTTAAGTCAACTTCTCATTCATTCGGGCAAATTTATTGCCAGCGCTGAAAATAACTTCCAAC